TGGTTGCACGTTGTGACGCTCTGGTTTCAGGCACCCAAAGGAAATCACTTGCCTGATAAATACCTTTTCCTTAATTTCTTTAAATCAGCCTAATTCAAAGACATTTGGATAGAAAATGGCAATGGTTCTCTTCGTAACTGTGACTCTTGAATAGTGTAGTCCATCCTTTTAGCTTTGCTGTGCTTTTTCCTTCCTTGCACTGAATCACGAAGGGAAAAGTAAATCAAAGTAGGTAACACTCAGAGTCCGAACACTGCTAACGTCTGTGGCCAGAAGTAGATGGCATTAGCTAGTGGTAGAGTAGAACCTAATGTTAGTTAATATTGTGCTCCTCTATACCCAGATAAAAAGTAGTTTTGTTGGTGATGGGTATAATCTGTTTCTCTGATTTATTTGCTTGTGATTCATCCTTGCATTTGGTTGTGGGAGCAAATAGGAAACTAACATGAAGCTTTTTTATACAGATACAATGTAGCTTTAATTGCAGGCTAAGCACATTTTGCTGTGTTTAAGTCTAATTTTTCCTTTTTCTGTTTTTTTTAATAGCTGATTCTGATAGTGGTGACAAATCAAATGTGAGTACCTTTTTTGCATCGTTGTTTGTTTAAGAGATATGTGTTTAGCAAAAGTGAATTTTTTTATGCAAACTGTCTTGTAACATCCCCAAATCAGAATAAGAGGGTTTTTTTCTCATGGAAACGAGAGGAAAAAGTACAACCCAAATCAAGACCTGGTCTGAATCTGGAATTTTTGTGTTCTTCCCTTGTCTGGAAGGAAGGCTAGCTATACAGTACTGGTTTGCTGGAACCACTGAAGTGTCATAATCTCAAAACAATATGTAACTCCAAGTTATCCATTCTACTTTAAATGCATAGAAATTAGAGACCACAATTCTACTGTCTCCCCAACGCAGGAAAAAAAAGAAAAAAAACGACCACAAATGCTACACTAAAGTACACAGTATTTCATATTCTGTTTGCCACGTAAAAATAGACATAATCTCTTCCTATCAGATTCTAATACAACTCTTAGTGGAAAGGAGTATGACATCAAGTGTCTACAATTGCCCTTGATTATAAGGATTTTAGACATGTAAATGTATCATGTAATGGGATCCTTACTGAAGCCTGAGATTTTATTTCATTATGGATAAAAATTGAAAACAATGCTATAGGCTGTTGTGCTGGCAGCCATATGAAATGAGAGAATATATTTTACAAATTGCTTTGCCTGTTGTGCAGAAGATTACAGGAAAGAAAAATAGAGATTTTCTTTAAATTTGAGTACTTTCAGGTATCCCTGTTCATTGCTGCTTAGAGCTTTCTTTAAGATCTTTTTCCTTTTTTTTTCCCCCTCCAATTGAAGTTTCCCGAGCCTTTCTTTGCAAACCAAATGATTATTTTATCATTTGGATACCTGTGGGCAATCCCAAGTGTCAATGAAGCTAAGAATATTATCTGCTAACTGAGAGAACCGTTATCTAGTTCTCAATTTCCCATTTTAACATTGGCCGCCAGGGTGGGCCAGATGAAGTGCAGCTTTCTTGGTAGCCTTGTGAAGTACAGTGTTAAAGTCTAATAGCTTGGCTTTCCTTTACACAAGCGTTTCAATTTCTGGTCCTGGGACCCAGAAGAAGAGCGAAAGCGTCAGGAAAGGTGGCAGCATGAGCAAGAACGCTTGCTTCAGGTAAGGAAGAAACTACATTTCTCCCGCTGTGTGGCTCAGCTGTTGAATTGTCCCTTTGTACAAAAGTTGGGCATTTCATGTCATGTCTTCCACATCCTCTGTGGATGCTTGAGCGAATTCTGTAGCAGATGAGTAAGAACATGAGTGCATACACACGTTCTCTGTGGTTCAGGCACTCCTAACATCTCCCTTCCCCACTCCGTGGAAAGACCGAAAGGACTTAGTTCTGCATTCCAGTGTGGAGTTAAACCAAATGTTGATCCTCAACTATATTTAAACTATGTTGAGCATAGACTGTGAGACTTAATTACTTGGAGCCTCTTTCTCGAGACTGGTATTTTGCTGGCCCTGACACCTATGCAACTCTTTTTTAAAAGGATGGTCTTAATAGATTTTTGTAGAGTTCTGCTTTGTTCACAGGTTCTTCTTGGAAAACATCAAGCTAGATTTGGACACAAAGGGCTTGGGGTCTTTTTGTGAGGGGAGGAAACCCCCTCAAAACAACCACTAGTGGTAGAATAAGCTGTAAAAAGTCTGGTTTTGTGTCCTAGTTGGGAGAAGCGCAGTGGCCTTGAGAACTGGAATTTCCTTGTCAGTCAGTAGTGTCTTTTGAAACTGTGATTATGTTTGGTCCCAAAGAAATCATATCTTTCCTCCATGTAACAGAAGAGCAAACAACGGTCAAAGGATGGAGAATAATAAATTGGAGTCTTTTCATCTTTTGAGAATGACTTGTGTGTCTCTCTACTGCTTTCTTAAGATTATTTCTTTTTAATTAATATGGTTGTTTCCTCTTAAAATGGTGTAAAATTCTCATCACAATTTTTCTGGCATATGTGTGTATTCTCTCAATAGTGAATGTATCTCTTCTGGATTAGGCAGATGTGGTTTCTAATCTGAACAGAAGTTGGAACTGGTGTGAAAGGGATACGGAAGTCACTGTTCTTCCCCATATTCAAACCAGTTCTATCAAACAATTTTAAAGATCTCTTTGAGATAATTTTTCATGCAAAACTATGTGAAAACAGTTCTCAAGAAATAGTTCCATCAAGGAGGAAAATAAACTACTTAGCTAATTATAAGCTGACCCTCTTCAAACCTTTACACATTATTTATTTGTCTTTTAAACTTGCACAGGTATTCATCATTCATTAAATTGTACTGGCATCTCTCTTAAATTAGTACCAGTATCTGCAAAACCTGCTTGTTTATATGCTACTTTGCTGAAGTTATTAATGTAAAATCCATGCCCAAGTGTTTTGGGGTGTATGTTAGCTTTTTGGAACTCTTAATTCCTTGTTTATTATACAGTATTATTGAAATTGTTGAGCATAAATTTCATTTCTGACCAAAGATTTAAAAACTTCTAACAAATTAAACTTCTAGTATGTTAAAAGTTTCTCATGGTTTGAAGGTGTTAAATGTAAGTGCTAGAAACAAGTGGGGAGATGAGGAAAAGAAGCTTTTTTTGACACCCATGGATGTTTCAGATTTTTATATTCCTATTTCATCCTATTTCTGATTAAACCACTCTTAGCAGGTTCATTTTTACTGTGGAGATACTACAGAATTTACTGCTAATACAGAATGCTCTGAATTTACCTGTATTTGTATCCTCTTACAGGAGAAGTATCAGAAGGAGCAGGACAAGCTGAAAGAGGAATGGGAAAAGGCCCAGAGAGAAGTTGAAGAGGAGGAGCGTAGATACTATGAGGAGGTATAAGGCTCAGAGGAGGAGGTTGTTCATTGACTTTTTTTGTATTTAAATGCACCCACTTACGTAACTAAAAAAATGCCATACCTAGATTAATTAATGAAAAGCCTTCTCAAGGCTGAATTCTCAGGAGGATTGTTTCTCTTAAACACTACCATAGGCACTGAGGAAAAATATTTAAATATTTAGACAGGTATCATCAGAACCTCCACATAGGTGGAGGTGTCTAATTGCTGTGCAAGTCAGGGTGAGTCAGTATGGCTGTGTCTGGGCATGCTCAGACTTCCCTCCGGGGGCAGAGCCTTGTGTGTTTTGGTGTGTACTTAGTGTCTGGACTTGGTGGAACTCCAGATGAAATTGTTGTCTGCCTTGGGCTTGATCATGTAGATGTTTTGTAAACTGGCCTTGTTTTTCAAAAAAAATCCACAGGAAATGTTCAAAGCTTGCAGCTGTAGAATATTAACAATATAGAAGATAATGTTTTTCTTCTGTCGTATGTGGGTCATTATTGCAGGAAATTGGAAAATATTCATGTTTCCAGTTTGACTAGTTGTACGTTATGCAAATTGATGTCTTATCATCTGTGCTTGAGGGCCATACTTGTGATCTGAACAAGAAATTTTTTTTTCAACTTTCGGAAGAAGTTTCTCAGGTACCATACTTTTATATGAAATTTAATAGACTGGTGTTTTGAGAAACAGTGGTGCCATCCCAAGTGGAATATTCTTTCCAGTTTTGGACATCCCATCTCAAAGATGGTAATGATGAAAGGAAAGGGAGTGCAAAACCTTGAAGCAAATTAAAAATTGAGGTGTTACCGTTATTCTTGGTACCACAGGTCCTTACCTAGCCATCTAAATGTGAGCGTGTAGCCAAACTCTAAGGTTCTACTTTTTAAGCTCATAGTTGACATTCTGTATTTTAACGCCTGCTCTCTCCTGATCCTCTTTTTTTTAGGAACGTAAGATAATTGAGGATACTGTAGTTCCATTCATTGTTTCTTCAAACTCTGCTGAGCTCCTCTCCTCCTCTTCCTCTACCACTGAAGGAAACAAGACAGCAGTGAGTTTCTCATGGATTAGTAAGGCAATAAAGACTAAGCTATCTTCAGTGCAAAGTTTCATTCTTCGCTAAAGGCTAACAAAGTCTGGGAACAGTAAGAGTATTCCCTGGATCCTTTCCATAGCTGGTGATACCTCAGAGTGCTGTAGCTTGTATATTTTTACAACTGAAGAGCCATACTCCCAAGCAAACTGCTGCCATCCTATTTTGGGCTAGAACAGAGGGTGATAATTCCGCTCTTTGCAGCTGCTTCTCTTCTTTAACTGGTGCTGTCAAAAACCAGTCACCTGTTTCTATTTGTTTTAACTACCTTCTCAAAGCCAATAAAACCTGAAGTAATTTCCCTGCATCCAAAATCTTGAGTGTAAGACAGTTCTGTAAGTATATCTGAGATGAGACTGAATGCTGCCTCCCCACTTTTCCTCCTTTTCTCTCCCACCATCCCTCCTAGAAAACAGCAAAGCGAACGGAGGAATTTTCACTCTCTACTCTCTTTTGGCTTATGCGGCACAAAATGGTCAACTCGATGCATCTAGCATCTAATTAAATAAGTGTTTGCCGGAGATCAGAGAATGACACCCCAGGTGAGATCAGTAGAATAAATGTGGGATTCCCAGACTTAATTTTCTCCTGCCTAAGGCACCCACACCAAAGACGACATCTGCCTTTTTCCATTCAACTCCAGGATTAAGAGTACTGTATCATCTGGTTCTCGTCTCACCCTTCCTGCCCCCTCTTATCACTCATCCCGGTGCAGGGACATCAGCCATGGCCCTTTGTCCACATGGCTGTGTAGGGGTAACTTCCTGAATGGGGTTGCTTATGCCACGTTCAGGGCAGTGCCTGCACCCAGAAGTGAAGGATCTCATGCCATGGCTTACTGAAGCTCCACCAGTCAGGTATGACCCACTCCAGTACCATTTTGGAAGTAGTACCGGTGTTGCCAGTTGAGAATGCCCAGAGCATGTGAGTAATGCTCTGCCTCCTGGCAGAGTCAAGAAGCTGAGGTCCCTCACAAAGTCCTTCCAAGTGCAATGGGAGACTGTCTAGACTCTCAAAGTCATTCAAGGATTTCTGCCAAAAATATGTATTGGCAAGTTCTATTTTGTCATCCTGAACACCATCTCATCATTGGTCAGTCCCACACTTTTTTGTTTCGCGCTCAATTTAATACAATTAGTTGATTGTTTTAGCTGAAGTCTTTGTTAAATCCGCAGTTAGCCTTACCAAGGTCAAATGATTCCACCGTATAATGTGAGATGTTATTTATGATAATAAGGTGTGTCAACACGATATACCTGGGGGCAGCCTGTGCTTTTTTCATGCGTGTGCTGATGCCGAATTCAAGGGAAGCTCCTTGTTCCCTCCCCTGCTGTCTTCTAGAACACAACTGATTCAAAGAGCTCTCCAGAGGAAGTCAAACAAAAAGAAGTTACAAGGCAGAAAAAGTTGCTCTGGGAGCAGGACAGTATACCATCTCCGAAAAGCAAGGAAAATGAACTCTGGCAAGAAAAGAGGAGGTATGGATCAAGCCTAAGCATTTCTTAGCCCTGTGGAGCTTTGTGTTCTGTAGAGTAGAGTTCTGGGATGTCACATCTGCCCATGATTAATGCTGGAGCATCAGCATCTGGTGGCCTGGTGATAGGTATAATATATCCCGATCAATATTCCCTTGCCGCAGGCTTACGCATATATGGCAATGTGCAGTGCTAGTTTTGCATATCAGAAGGCTTGCCTTTTCAGTATATGGCTTTGCTGAAAGGCTGTCACATCAACCAGATCAGAGCTTAGATAGCTCAGGCAGCTCTGTGTGGCACTGCACTGTGTCTTGTGTACAAGTTTCACAAGCCATTTGGAGGAATAAAGGAGCAGTAGCTATTTTCATTCAGAATCTGTGTGAGATTGCCTGGCTATCTCAGAAGTGCCATACCTGAACTTGCCAGATGGTGTTCAAGGTCCTAGCCTTTGCCCAACTGCTAATAACAGCTTTCACAAAGACGAGAAGCATCTGATGATGCTGAACACTGGGTAGAGAACACTAAGAAAAGGAGTTTCTCTGTCAAAGAAGCTGTTTTCCACAAATCCAGAATGATCTTTAGGGCATGTAAGTGGCAGTGTGTGAGGGAAGTAGGAAGACTTGGCATGTTTGGAGACTTGTTAATTCATGACAGTTTATCCTCATTGTTTTGTCATCACTGACACAGTAACAAAAATCTTGTTGCAAAAAATAGACTGATATTCAAAAGTATAATTTTGCCATTCTATTTTAGGTGGCATTTTTCCCAGCATTATTTATACAATGTGACTTATTTTTATTGGCAGTGGAAATAAAGTGCTCTCAGGACACCCAGAGATGGGTATCTTGAAAGGAGGTGAACAGGAGCACCAGGTGCCAGAGATGGAGCACAGCTCGCCTGCCAGGCTGAATCTGCCGTTGACTCAGGGTGAGAGTCAAGATTCTTCATACGCATGTATTCTTTTCCAAATAGAAATCTTGCAGGTGTATACAGTGGCTTGAAATCTAACTCAAAGAATTTTGGAAATTAACAGTACACATATATCTTCAAAATTTGAATGTCTCAGGTTCAAAAGTTATTTTCTGTTAGCAAAGATAAATATGTTAAGGGGAAATTTAAGATCTTGTTTTCATCAGAGATGAACGTTTCAGCTGCAGGTAGGAATCTCGTTTATAGGCCTGCATGTTCACAGTAGTAATTAAACACAGTTATCTTCGATCTTTTACATAATCTTACATACAGGATTTATCTTGTTACAGAGAGCATATTTCCAACACTTCTTTCGTGTTTTGATAGCTAATTAGATTCTTTATGACCATTTCAGTTCAGTAAAAATCACTACTTGTGATGTGTAACCATTTTAAGCCAAGTCTAAAGCGACACCTGTCTCAATTTTGTCATTAGAAATTAATAGATTTTTTTAAGCTCCCATAAATATTGATGTGTTTTGAATGAAGGAATTTCCCCAAAGCATTACTGTCAACAGGGTCACCCTAAAAAAAAGGCAAATTCACTAGTTTAGCATCATTATCTAATGCAAGTGAACAGTAGGAGTAAAGATTTTGAAATTGAGTTTTAGATTTTTGTTTTCAGTTTAGCATCAAAATTGATGATTCTAAAAAATGAAACGACTAGGTATAGAAAAGGTTTCAGTGTTATTACTTGCTCCAAATGCAAATTCAATTTGTTAAACTTAGCAGGTTTGCTTTCCCTGTCCACAATTTTATTGTATTCTTAGTGCTTTGATAAAGGTTTCTCAAATAAAGTAAACAGAAGATATAGCCCAGCAGTCCATCCTTGTGGATTTGTAGCAGTGATTAAACAAACTTCAAAGATTTGATAATTTTTAACAACTTCTGCTAATCAGGCTTTTTTTCTAGGTTCTCTTTTCAACAACTTGGTCCCCTACAAATATTCTGACAGCTTCGTTCTTGCCCCTTAACATATCACATCCTTGCTCTCTCCTTAAGTCCCTAAATAGTCAGGGCTAGGATTTTTTTTGTCTTGATATTAAAAATAGGTAACAGGCTTTTCGTAGGCCCCATTGAAGTTTTTCTTCTCCTCTAAACCAGCTAGTTGGTGCACAACAGGGTAAGGCCCTCCCCAGCCTGCGAGCCACAAAATTCATCTGGAAGGATCCAGGTAGTGTGCTCTGTCTCAAAGATGGGATGGTCAGCTGCCTGGGCATCACAGATCATTGCCTATTGCTGGGAGGCTGTTATTGTCACTGAGCCTTGTGCAGCCGTCTGAAACGCAGAAGGAAATTACAAGGGAAGAAGTCTGTTTATCAGTAGGCTTATAGAGAACAGTGACTACACCGCCTTCCTCTTGACTCTTGCTATTGAGAAGTTTGGATCCCCGGGCACCATGAGAAGTTTCTGTCTCTCTGGTTCTTTCTGTTCTCTCTTTTCCCAAGTGCTATTCGTGGACAGCTGTTTGACCGCTCCCTTTCCCCTTTCAGAAACTGAGATTCAGCAGCAGGCTAGGTCATGTGTATGTGAAAGTAATGCAAGGGGACGTTGTCACACAGAGGTCTTCTGGTGTAGCAGAGCCTGTCTCTGACTTTGTGTGGGGTTTCTGAGAACTTATTTTTAAGTAACAGTACATCTCGCGTCTTCTTTATGGTGTGCCCACAAGCTATGCTGGTCTATAAGTATTGACAAAAGCATTTTATCACAAGTATTGAGATTTCCCCACCCCCCATTGTAGACGTCTCCTGGAATCAGCAGTTGCTGACAAAGCAGTCCCCGCATCGTGCAGAGGACATTCGGCAGAGACCATTCCTGAGCCAGAGTGCGGGACAACAGCCGAGCTCCGCAGGAGAAACAAGGAGGTGAGAACATAAAATAAAGATTATTGCAGAGGTTGAGAAGTTCTGCTCACTCTGTTCTCCCTTATATTCCTACTCAGCATTCTTTATCCGTTAAGTTTCATGGGTAGTCCTGCAGTGTGCAGACATCTCTGATTCCTGGCTTTCCCACCAAGACTGCTAACTTATTCACTTCGTTTCTCATTACAGGTACCCCAGTAACTAGTTTCACAAGGGAGGACACCTCCTGCTTGCCATTCTCTGTCCTCTTTCTCCTTAGGTCTTTAAACAGTCATCTGCATAACTGTTCATGTGCTCCATTTGTTTTAATTCCCTAAGACAAACATTTATAGCTAGCAAGTGGCTAAATATCAGGGTGGGAATACCAGAAGTCTGCCTCTTTGAAGTTGGTATCCGAGAGCTTCATTCCCCAGCTTCTAAATACACATTGGTTGCTATTTTCTAGTTCTTTAAGGGTTATGGCTTTTAAAAGAAGATACATAGAGATTAGTATTTTCTTTCTGCTATAAAGTTGGTGAGGTTTTTTTCTTCTCTGATGCTTTGCCTTGTGTTTTTGAGTGAGCATTATTAAAAAGTAACACCAATTCTTTCAGTAAGCAAGGGATATGTTTACCTAATATTTGCAAAAAGTGTATCTCTGTAATGAGAAAGGAACATCTGTTTTCATTAGCATATATATGAACACAGTCTCTTGCAAGATATGTGTTAAGTCTACGAAGCTTGTATCCACTCAAAACTATTGCAGATTGAGGTTTGATTACCTATTCCTGATAACAAACTGCGAGTGTGTGTTTGAGAAAATTGTTATTTAATCTATAAACAGCTTTAAGCAGTGAGAGGTTGAATCGATCCTATGATTTCTGATAACAAAAAACATCTATGGTCTTTCTCACCAAATTCTTGCACGGTAGCATGGGCACAAATAAGAATAAACCACTTTTCAGTGTTGGTAGCTTCCTTTTTACTCAGTAAAGGGCACAGACCCTCCATCAACAACCCCACATCTGCCCTACCAGCGTGCTTCTGTGCACATCCCCTGAGGAACAGAGAGTACAAGGTGGTGTGCCTTGGTTTAACCCTCCTTCGTCATGGCGTGAGCTACGTTGGGTTGATATGTGGGTAGGAGTCTGCACGTGGCTGATTACCTTGTGAGTTATCTGATTGAGCAATAGCAAGCAGACCAAGACTCAGAACCAAAAAATGTGTGCTATTTTTCATTGTATCAAAATGGCAGTGGACAGCAAATTTATACCTTGTTTTCCTTAGATAAAATTTTAGAGCTGGGAATCCTGCTGGAATTTCATCAGCTGGAATTTCTCAGTTCAAAACCACTGGTTTTAGTTGTTCTTCAGCTGTAGTAATGCATTTTCTCGTGTATTTTAGGGCAGGCTATCATGAGAACTTCCAGTCTGGGCCATCATCTCCCTGCTCTCCTGCTGCTTCGAGTCAGTCACCCAACAGGTACAAAAGGTCAATAAGGAATTCTGCAGACCAAATACATCTTGTAGTCGCTGGTGAACTACCGCAGTGTAAATCACATTAGTATTATGTGGATGCACTGTTAATTCTTCTAAATGTTGCAATTCATAACTGTCCACGAAATAAACACATAGGTCCCTCTCCCATATTTCTTGTCTACTTCAGCAGTATTGTTATGTTTTCAAATAACACAGTTCAGAAAGCAGCTGTAGGACTCTGCTTGATCATTGAAATTTCAATGAAATTGAAATGGGATAATGTAAGCCCCAGTCAAAGTAAGCAGTAAAGTGTGTGTTCAGAGCATTTAAGCCAAAGGATGTTGTCTTCGCTGTGAATAGTCACATGCTCAGGAGCAAGGTATGCTCTAGATGTTGTCACTGGCTGACGCATTTCAACACTTGCTGATTTAAAAAGAAATCCTTCCCTTAATTTCCAAACTTGAAACACATTTTGCTTTTTTGCTGGTTTTTTTGTGTTTTTGGGTTTTTTTTAAATTTTTTTACATTCGTTCTAATCTCCTGGAGATTTGATTCTCTCAGGCAATGAGCTGTGCAGCTTTCAGTGAGATATGTGTACGAACTCTAAATAAATGTTAACTGTAGCCTGATAGAATCACTGATAATTTGTGGTGTATTGAAATCAGTTGGCTTATGAAACAGGGTAAAGTAATACAACACAGAAAACAGAGCAAGTTTTTGTTCTATTTAAATAACATTTTTCTTCACGTTTGATAGCAAAGGCCTCCTTCTGATGCCATTTGCATTGACATGAAACTATTAGGATTTTTTAATGCGAACAATTTCTTCTGTTTTTTCTAATTGTAGCTGCAGTTTTGGTGGGATTGCAGATCATTTCTTGCTATGTGTAGCTAGTCGTCATAGCTACTTCATATTATTTAGCAGCTATATCCTGATCTGAGACGCTTTTCCAAGATCTCTTCCTGAAATAAATCTTAGTTCTGGAAACAATGGATGGGACATAATTCATTGTTCCACTACAAGATTAGAAAACTTCTCTTAAAAAATTTCCCAAAGCACTTTATTCTTTGATCCAACACTTTAACTTGTCCTTGTAATAACTCTTGATAGTGGAGAAGAAGTGAAAACAAAGGTGGACTCAAGAATAACACAGAGGGATGTGAGCAGAAAGCTTAAGGTTGTAGTGGAGGAGAAGAAACCAGGGAAGTTACTCTAAAAGGAATAGTGAGAATAAAGCAACAAGACAGTGATGTGCCTGTGCTGTCAGTGTACATGGTGGGATAAAGAATGATGGGCTCAGGAGTGACAGAGATTAGATAGATGGAAGCAAGGACAGTTTTCTCATTGTGATGAGTGTTTCTGCTGCTTCCGTCTCTTTTTTTTTCCTTTTTTTTTTTTTTAATGGCTTTTTAATCATGATGCAGTCCAAATCTGTCTCTGTTGGTGGCTTATTATGTTGTTGCACCAAAACCATAAAGCAAGATACTGTAAACTTGCTTATCTGTGTACAATTTCATCAAACTGTCTTTTCAAAACTCATGAAGTATCCCAAAGTTTGTCTGCGGGTTTCAGCCCTGGCTGAAAAAAGCATGGATGACGCATAATGCGTCAAAAGGATCCCTTTTGGTCTCAAGTTCATCTTGCTGGACAAACATCAGTTCTGGCAGGCTGGCAGACAGGTGCGAAGGGAAGAGCATGAAACACATAGAAGTGTGCACCTGCACTGCCATTAAAACCATTATGAAAAAGGGTACCAGTTATTCCTGGGGCTTCGATCCCTCACCCCACTCTCCTCAAACAGCTGATTTACTAGAAAGGTCTAGTAAATGGATTGAAGCTTAAGGAGAGAGTTGAAGTAGTTTTGCGTTGCGGATGGAGATCTGATTTCAGCTTTATTCTAACTAGTTGGAGTACTAACAGGCATGCAGGTGCAGCAGCACAGACTAAAATTAGTTAGCAAGTGCCTGATGCCTGATCTGTGCTACTGCAGTTCTGCTGCTACTGTTGACTTTGCCAGCTTATTTGGGTGTAAGAGCAGCATCCCTGCCTTCTGACTCGCAGTAAGCAAACCTATTTGCAAACAAATTGAAAAATTTCCAGGCTGGGAGTCTGACTCGGGTGTGTGACTGTCTGCTTTGATTGCTGTGGCATTGACTGGGTCTAGGTAATCCACAGGTATGGTTCCCTGGCATCTGGGTCTCTGTTAAGAGGCTTGCATCTCCCTCGATCTAGCACAGCAGACTGGCAGGGAAATGGATCTGTGCTGCTGTGCATTCAAGCATTTTAAGTCCTCTGCTTGCTTGTCTGCGAGGTAGATGTGCAGGCTGATCAGCAAGATGGTTGAAGGGTCAATGTGTATTTATGTGACACCCCCCAGTGCTCCTTCCTCCCATCCTATCCCTCTCCATAAACCTGTGTAAACATTTGGCCGCATTTTAGCATCATTTGCTCTTCTGTTTTCTTAAAGTCATGTTTGTCTCCTAGGTCTGTCAGCGGAAAGAAGCTTTGTTCTACCTGTGGGCTTCCTCTTGGAAAAGGAGCTGCCATGATTATTGAAACGCTTGGTCTTTATTTCCATATTCAGTGCTTCAGGGTATGTTTCTTGTTTTATTAAGAAAAATCTCAAGTCATGCACAGTGTGAGGAGAGAGTATATTGAGGTCTGTAGATGTGAAATTGAAAATGAGAGGACCAAGGGATTCACGTGTTTGTTTTGTATGTTTGTGTGTGTGTTTGTAGAGAAGTGGAAGTAATGCAGCTAATGTGTTATTTCGTTGTCAGACATGTTAATTGGACTAAAACATGTGATTTAGCAAGCAAACAGCTTCCTGACTTACAGAGGGAAGCATCGTATACTTTCCCAGTTGTACTCATTTTTAAATACAAAATTAGTTACCTTGTGATTTTTTTCTTTTTTTTTTTCCCCAAAAACCCATTCAGTCCCAAAGCCATCTTTGATCTGACCCATGGTTGGAAAGCTTTGACTATGGAATGGATGATGTCTTTGACCTTTCACCAGAGCTCTCAACAGAAATACTTCACGACTGTTCTTGAGTGTCTGAAGATAGTGTTTTCCAGAGAACTCAGAAAGTGTCCATTTCCATTATCTTTGGCCCAGTTGGTTTTAGACATTTATGAAGCCTTCTTTGGTTTTAGACATTTACCCAAACTGAACCTCTGGCCTCTGTAAGCTTTGTCCAGCACAAATGGGCTGGCTCCAGAATGCAACGTCAAAATCAAATGTCCCTTAAAATCACTAGACTTCACTTCTGTGTAAGTGGAGACTGCTGAAATCGAGTCCTAAGTACTGTTGGCTCTAAAATAAACCTTTCACTGATTTGCAGTGGTCCTTAGGAGTATGGGCTGGGTTCTGGGGGTTATTTTTTTCTCCCTGTTCCAAGAACTATTGAAACAAAAGTCAAAATTTGGGGAGAGTTGTGACAGATAGTAGGGCATGGTCTCTCTTACTTTCTCTGTTCTGCAATTGACAGTGTGGCATTTGCAAGGGACAGCTGGGAGATGCAGCAAGTGGGACAGATGTCAGGATTAGAAATGGTCTTCTTAACTGCACCGATTGTTATATCCGATCCAGAAGTAAGTACCAAATCCTGTCCAAAGGGCAGTGAACTCTTAACAATACCGTTGCCATGATTTTAACTGATGAGTTTTCTCCTCGTGGAAGAAATGTGTTCTCCCTTATGCCCAAATGGCTTTCCCACGCAGGCATAACTTTGCCATGGGAAGAGGAGCCTTCCCATGCTATTTTAATCATCCTCTTGTATCAAAAAATATTTCCAAGCCCATTAAACTTTGCCCAGAGGATCTCTGCTCAGCAATATTAGACTTGAAGGCTGTTCCTGTGCATAAATATAAACTCCTACGCTGTGCACACACGTTGCGTATCCTGAAGGCTTGGATCTGTCACATCACATGAGACAATGTAGATACTTCTACTAGGTCTAGGACCCTGGGCCTTGTTTGGAGAAGTTCCCATTTTTTACATCTCCAGGCCTCCATTTGCAGACAAAATGATCAAGGAAAATATTAGGAACATTCTGTAACTCATAATGAATCCTTGTGGTGGTATTCCCAGACATGTGCTAAAGCATTGCTTGCTGCAAGTTTGGAAGAACGAGCCAGACAATTGCATGTCAGAAAAAAACTTGATGCATTTTTCTGCCTTAGAGCAGGTCACTTGAATGTCCTTCCTAGTCCCAGATTTCTGTGACTGATAGCAAATTGCTAGAGCATTTCAGCTTCACCCTGATGTCACCAGGGACAGGAGATTGGCAGTGCTCATGCTGGCTTTCTACTTTGTGGAAAACAGTAAGACGCAGGAAAAAAAACATGGGATAATTGTTGCCTTCCTGATACGTGGTACTGTTCAGTATATTCACTGCCTACAGTCCCAACTGATGAGTGGAGAGACAGAGTTCTTTTCACTTACTATTTCCCTTCTTCTCTCTTAAAAGCAGTGGCTGTAGAAATCCAGGAGTAGGAAAGGTACCTACCTACCTTTGCCAGCAGAAGAATAGATTTTTTTTTTTTCTCCGATGTTTCAGGAGAGAGATATTTCCCCATCAGCAGAGCTAGAGGGTGCTATTGTATAACCATTTGTTTGGTGATTTTTTTTTTTTCCTAAATTCTGCTAAGAAATGTTAGCAACTTATTATTTATTTAACCTGACACATTTAGAAATAGCTTTTCCCCTTCAGGCTTGATACTATAAACCTTCCTCATGTGGATGAGGTCCTGACCCTTAAAATGCACGTTTGCACATCCATCTTTACACAAAAAAGAGAGGAAGGAGATAAAAGTCACATTCTCCTTTTATTCTTAATCCTTTTTGCTCAAATAAAAATTGAGGTCCTTTAAGGATAGATGAAGGCTCAAATAAATTATTTATCAGCTATCACCCTCTCCATCATCATTTCTACAGCAGTGGTGCTAGAAAATGCAGTACAGAGCTGTGTACAGTGTTTCGTGCAGTAAGGTTTTGCAGTTGTACATACCTAGCACAACGGTAACCAGGTCCATGACAGAGGGAATAGGTTTTGAGGAAATGTATGGTTCCTGAAGAAGAATAATGGCAAGGGTTTGTCTTTTTTCCTACAAATTGCCTCTTCCTGCTGTGTTCACTCCTCATGCAAAATCTCAAAATACGAGTTAGTTGAATTTAAGTTACACAAACTGGCTCTTGTTGACAGTTTCAAAGGGACTGATTTTAACAGAACTGCAAATCCGGTTAGTTGCTCATTTTTAACTAGAATTCGACAGACTCCACATCTGAAATGAAGAACAAACTGGTGCAATGTTAGTGTTTTGCCTTTCAGTTCTGGGAAGTCTGATGCTAAATATGAAATCATTTGCTTGATTGCACAGCTCGTGCCTTCCTGCCCCCACGGCTGCATCTGAAAACCTGTGCAGCAGTGTGCACAACAGTCTCTGACCAATCCAGAATTAAATCAGTATTGTTTTGAGATGCTTATGGACATCTCAATGAAATATTTTGGCTGCCAGAAGCTTATTTGAAACTGTGGATGATTCTGTTTCAAAACACGTTATCAAAAACCTTAAGACAGAAAAGCATTAAAGATTATGTAGTGGTCCAGGGTCCAAAATATTTCTGTTTTTCAAATAAAAGTGGATGGGGTTTTATTGGTAGGTTATTTCTGTACAAGAAAACTTCCCAAGGAAGGGAACTCGGGATTCGATGTCAAACACGGGGAATAGTACAGGTTTGTGAGTGTCAAAGTCAAAGGCAAATTGACAAAGGCAAAGGTAAATTCATGAGATTCCCTGTACGGCCAAGTAACACAAGGGCTCTGTATTACCACGTAACACAAACCAGGCACAGCTAAAGATGACTCATCAGTCCTTTGCTTTACTGTTCTGCCACTGCAGAGCCTGAAAGTAAATATACCCACAAATACTTTGGGAGTAAAATGAAATAATTTTCATGCATGCAGAATGCATTTGTCCATGTGGCATGGAAAATACATTTCCACTGGAGTTATGCTGAATCCTTCTTTGCAGCTAGTGCCCCAGCTTTGCAGGAAGAAAGAGAAGCAGGGCACAAATGATACATATTTCCAGATGTGGATTTTTGAATTGTAGAGATCATATGAGGAAAAGCCTATGTATGTTTGTTAAAATTTGTCAGCTGATGACTTGGTTTCGTTTTGTTTTATCCAGCTGCTGGACAGCCAACCACATTGTGACATGACTTGCAGTCCTAATAACTTTCAAGAAGGAACTCTCTTCTTACATGTATCGGCTGCCTCCAGACAATCACTTGTAAGAGCTTGAATCCATGGACGTCATGGCTCTCATCTCATTTTGAAAAACTCATAAAAATGCTGCACCTGCTCCTTCAAAATGCAATATGTTGGTTTTTCCCTTTCTTAAGAAATTTGCAAAATATGTATGACCGTGTTTGGGAAGGCAAAGCCTAAGTACTATAAAAAAAAAAAAATCCCACCTTTCAGGTATGTTTATGATTTCCAGTCTGTCACCTTGTTCTTTTGAAAGTAATAAGAAAATAAACATGCAATAAAGCTGTTTTGTTTTAATATTTCTAGGAATTAAAAAGTTTAAGTTTACAGAACCTTTATAGAATATGCCAACTTGAGCTGAGAAGTAATTTTAAGATAGTATCTAATCAGTGCATTTGAAAAACTAAACATCACAGCACGACTTCTCTGTTATAACTGAAGCTATAACTTTTTTTATACAGAGACTAGTTTGATAATACATCCTGTAATTCTGAAGCATTTTGTGTTTATATTACCTTCAGTGGAGGGTAGGAGTTATACAAATAAATTATTGCACCTTTAGTGATAGGATTTTTTTGTTTGTGTACTTCAAGTAATGTTCATGACTATAGCTTAATATTCTCTCCAATAAAGATTTCTTCATTAAACCTAAAGACTGTATACCATTAACGATGGCAAGATTCCCATTAGGAGCAATCCTTCTTATTAAGTTCAGCAGCCCGTGTTGTTATTAAACTTGATGAAAGGTGATGCGGGGGAGAGGCGGCTGAGTGGGCGGACACAGCTGAATTGTGAGCCTCCGAGCTGCAGTTTGATGCTAGGGTGAAGCTTTTCTCTTTGGCGCGTAACTTGCCCATTCATGGTCTGAGTTGGTTTGAGATCTGCTCGTTCACTCACAAACATTACGGTTGATTGAAATCTCATGCGGAGAAACACGTGTGGTTTGGGTGCCCTCCAGAGCAGGGAATTTAACAGCCTTGAGCCTGTGTTCCTCCATACACCACCCCAATAAAGTCAACAAAACCCGGGGGTGCGGAAGGCGGGCAGGGAGGAGGCTGGCAGCGGTAGGCAAAAAACTTTAACTTTGCCTGTGTTTGGGCCAGTTTTCCTTTGTGCTTTTTGATTAAGCATGTGCTCCTTACTAAAGCGATCCAGCAGCTTGTTGAAACAGCGGTCAGAGCTGTGTCACTTTATCTACAATACACAGACAAGGCTAGGGGATGTGTTGCAATTGTAAAATATCCTAGCACTTTTTGGTAAACAGTTATTGGAAATATCCCATTTTAGCAGTTCACGGTGCAACTTAAAATGGAGGGGAAAAAATCTACTTATTCTGCCTTAAAACCATGATAAAACTAAATTGAGAGATTTATTTTATCTATGTGCACACCCATTGTCTTTTGATATGTTGGTAAATGGAAATGAAGTGGTTATTAGGGAAGCAATAATTTTGAGTTGTTCTATAGCTAGCAACTATTTAAACACTAGACAGTTGCTTGCGTGTGACTTGCATACCCATGCAAAACTGCGTGTCATTGAAAACTCATGTACGGTGTTGTTGTTGGAGGACATTGTGACTATCTGCTGGAAAGTTGCATGTTACCTCCTTAAAATTGTGCCTTAGAAAATGCAAAGCTGTTGCACACAGTCAACGATGACTTATGGATGCAATAAATCCAAAAAGCTGAAGTCCTTCGTGGACTTCACCTGGGGAATATTTTAAAAAAAAAAAATTTTAAAAAAGTCAGAAAAATGTTTTGGAAATAAAAGTGATGTCCGATATTTTGATTAACCATCTGCACGATTTACTGTTAAGGGGTTTTGATAACCAGGATGCTTACACTTTGCATGTGGTCATCATAACGTTTTCCCGCAAATAGTGTGTAACACGGAAATTCAAGAAGCAGATTTTATAACCGACTTTGTACATCTGTGTAATTCCATGCACTGCATTAAGGATACGTGAACATACGATGTCTGGGCCTGATTTTTAAACGAGACCCTGCATGCTTGTGCATCTTATTTGGTATGAGTCACTAACGCTGCTTCACCCGTGTGATAGAGTTCAGATGTGCAAATCGGTCCCCAGGTGTATAGAAGGGTTGGTTGTCACAGAGGTTAGAGCTGCTTCTCATTCACGTAGGAGTAATGGTTGGGACGAAAAGGCATGGGCGAGGGGTGGGGCGGGGGCCTGCATCGCACTGCAGACGCACCACCGGATCTCTGAAGCTGCTTAGAAACTGATCCCAGTGTCTATCAATTAGTTTCATATATGCATGTTTTAGCCAAGTTTGATTGTATGTACAGCAAAATGAAGCGGCTTTCTCAGACGACAGTTTTTCCCCCCTCATGAACATCTATTCACCAGCACAGAATAATTTTCGACAGTTTTCTGAATTGTACTTGCCAACTGTTTATGTTTGATTTTATATTTCCTTTGGAGTCCTACATGGCAAATTCATTCATGCTAAGATCTCTCCCCCTCCCCCCCCCTTATTTTTTCTCATTTTAAGCACATAAATATACATTTCTTATCAGGAACTTTGAGCACAGAAAAAAATAACGCTTTACTACAATTGAACTACAATGTAAATGTATTTGTTGCAAAAAATGATTTATTATTGCTAAGCAAGTACAATGTATGTAATGGATTTTAGATGTTTCAGAATTTATTTAGTCTCTTACTACTTCAGAGAGCCTGAACAGGTGTCATAACCATCTGTGTTTCACAACCCCATTTTCCATGGTGTATTTTTTCCTTGCTCTTGCTATGTAGTGTTATTGATGCAGTACATCTGTAGTTCTTGGTGAATGTCCTAAAGGTTGGTGAACCAGAAGGGGACCATCCTTACCCGCATGTCCATTCAAGGACAAGGATTGCTGTCCTAGCTGGGGCTAATGTTGAATACCAATTATGCTAATCTTTCCTCTATTTTATTTATTCTAAAATGCCTCTGGAAATTAGGAAAACTTGTCTAAAATGCAACAGCTTTTATAGTAAATGTATGTTTATAAATAAAATGTTGATTACCTTTGGTTCTGTTGATTTTACTCATTATAACTAATTTCTCCTATTGCATGCGATGTGTCTGTGAAACTGGATTGCAGAGTGTGTACATCCCGCTGGTAAAAGCTTCTGCTTGATTGGGGTAGGCTGAACCAAGCTATATTCCACAAAACGTAGCGTATGAGATGAGACAATAAAAAAGACATACATGAGATGGGACGATACCCTGTGGATTGCTGCTGTAAGCTGTATTTCCAAGAGCACGGTGTGGCTGTCGTGGTAAAAGACGAGTAGAGATGGCTTTCTGTGGGTCAAACCCAAAGTCCTCAGAAGATCTTTCATGGATGTCGGTGGATTGTGGTTCAGACTTTGACTCAATAAAGCACTTTATGTACTGCAAAGCTAAATATGTGCTTGGTTAATTCCATTTCTACGTAGCAAAGATCCTTGAGTTTGTGCTTAGTTATGCATGTGCTGCAGTATCACCGATTCTTGAATCTCAATGAGTATGCGGCTTCACCGGTAACCAGCAAAAAGTTCACACAAAACTTTAAACTAATAACTGCCCCCTTTTTTTTTTCTTTTTAATTGGGTCTTCAGTGGATGACAGGTTTGGTTTTGTGCCAGAAGCGCATCTTGGCTGTTAGATGAGTCATGGGGAAGTACTGACAATTTAATTTTTTGAAAGCAGATTTTTATCCCGGTGCCTTAATGGAAATGGTAGTGGTCTTACATTATTTCCGCGTGTACGTCTGCGGACAGAGGGCCAGCGTTGCTTTGTGGTGGAAGAGGTACGCTGGGGTTCCCAGAGGCGAGCATCGGTGCTGTGTTTGCGGGAACAGCGCGCTGCCACTGGAGGTTGCTCTGAGGCTGGATTTGGAGGCAGCTGGGCAGTTATTCTGCTTCAGCTGCTCTGCACCAAGGTTGCCGGGCACCCAGACAAGAACCGTTTTGGTGATTGTGACCCTTATGAGCCAAGTAAAATGGTGGAAATCCTGGTCTGATTATTTTTTTTTTTAATTATTTTCTGGTGAATGTGACCTGGCAGCTCTGACCTGACCAGGGCTGTTTATGATCCTAAAAGGGCACCGATGGGGGTGCACTCCACCGGCACTGATTTAATGCCAAAATAATTCCACAAACCTTATAAAAGGGGAGTTGTCTCACCTGCTCACCTCACCAGCACCTGCATCTGCAGGTAGCAAAGGCTGCCAGGAGGGCCCCAAGGGAGACCACCCTGCTAACAGGGCCTCGGCGTGCCCTGGGAGAGGACGATGGCTTGCCAGGCAGCAGGGTGAAGGTGGGGGCATATGGAAGAAATAGGAGGTAGCGTGTGAGAGGAGTGGGCTGCGACAGCCGAGGTTCAGACATCGGGGCAGAGGATACCCCATGCAAAGGGGCATGTGTGCCGGGTCCCCCAGGGAGAGCTCTGTGCCTCCTCCGCACCCCGTCCAGGCGTGATGCCTCCATCCCTTCCCTTTCCCCCATCTCAGCCAAGCGGGACGAGGGCTCCATTTCCTCCTGTGCGCCCTTGCTCCGGGGTCCAGCCGACCCCCTTTGTTTTGCTGTTTGTTTTCTCTCTTTAGCAACTGTTTTGGTGCAGAGATCATCAGTGAACACAGCCAGGCGCTGGTGGCTGTTGGAGGCTCTAGGCACAGGTAATAAACAGCAGTAGCTTGCTCATCTCATGAGTATTGATCCTTAGCCGGACAACTCTTCTGGGGGATAGTTAAAAGCAGGCAGCTACCACTTTGTTTAGAAAATTAGCTTTAGGTACAGTTCTTGCCGCCCGATTTAGCAAAGATTTGGTCTCAGATAGATCCCCTTCCTGATAATGGGAAGCTGGTTAAGTACTTACTCAATAAACTTTGCGGAGAGGGGGCTCTGTCTCTGCTCTCCTGATAACAGGTTGGGTAACTGGGGAACAAGGCAACAAAATGCTCATTTTAAGAGATGCGTCTGCAGTGAAAATCAGAAGGGGTTGTGAGCACTGGAAGTAAGCAGAGGACCACTTGGCTGGAAAAAAAGAAAAGATGCCAGAAAAATATATCTCCTGTAAAGGCCAACAGGACTCCTGTATACCTCTAAAAGCCTCCGGTAGGAATGTAATTTCATCTGAATTCCCTGATAAGGGGAAATTACTAAACTGGAAGCCGCTCAAGTTTTGCAAGCAATAAGAGCCCAAAACAGAGATAGAAAGTACAGGGTGGCTGTAACTCTTCTCACGGTACAGTGTGGGGTTGGTTTTGTTTGGTTTTTTTTTTTGGGGGGGGTGTCTGTTTTCTTGTTCATCTTTGTTATAAAATGTAGCATGAGTTAAACATGCAAGAGGGATGCTTACCTCTCTGCAAGGCTATAGCTGCTGCTCTGTAGACCTTACTGAATACCCCATGCTCTGCAAGAGTAGCTATTGGAGTTCTCTCCAAAGCGTATGGGTTTTTAAGCCATTTAGGGGAAAAAATATTCCATTATTTAAGACAATCTTATGAGTCACTGTTAACTCATCCGTAGAGTCCATCTGCTTCACTGCACGTGATGCACTGCAAATTGTCTTAGCTAATGCCACATCCATAGTTCACAGATGCATTTTTTCTAAGCAGGTAACCTGCTGCTTAAAACATGGTGAAGCCAGTTGCATGGGCCTAGAGACTGAACCAAAATTAACAGAAATGCAAATCTTTCCTTGAAACAACAGAATTTATCAAACAGAAGAAAACAAGATTTTAAAAATGCCTTTTGTCTATCACCTCTGATTATAGACAACAAATTACTCCAGTGACAAGCAAACAGAGAGACATGCCATCCACATCTCTGGAAACTACCTGGTAGCTTCCTGTGTTGAGTGTCAGAGGAGAGCATTAGGGCTTGCGGGACAGCAAATGTCTCAGGTGGTTGGGTCAAACCTTTTCTTCCAGAAAGGTAAGCACCAATATCGGATAGCAAGTGATGCTTATTCCGTAACGCATGATGTAGCTCTTCAAAGCAATCTTTTGCCTAGTCTCTTGTTTGCAGGAGCTCACTAAAACATACTTTCCATACAATACACCTGGCACCTGACACATTTCTTGTGGAAGGGCAAAGAGGATCTCTGGCAATATTGCACCTCAAGCGTGTGTGACGCCCTGTGGGAAACCCTGTTGCTCACCACAGTATACTCCAACTTTGAGACTCTCCTAGAGAATTTTGCATGACCTTAAATACAGGTGCCTACTTCTGATGTTTGTATACTCCCTGCAAGGACTGGTTCCATCAGTCTTTCAGCTGTTTAAAGAGCTTGCAAAAAAAAACTTCATAAAAATAACCAAACTATCTTTTCAGGGCATTCACAAATATGCATTACGGGGTAACAGGACGACCATTAAGTCTGTGTTCCCAGAAGCAAAATCACCAATGCAACAGATATTAGCCAGTCATGCTATTCCTATATAGGTTCAACAGTGTAAACTATGAAGATCAACGTTTTCTGCAAATGAGAAAATTTCCTGTATTCAATCCTAGCTGAGAGAGTACTAAAATGTCTTGGGAGAAGACTTTCACAACAGAATAAAATCAAGTGCCTGTACCTGGCACCTGAGGATGGGACGTCATGCCCCAGCATGGCATGACACAATTGCTGTGTCTCAAAGCATCCTTAATCACTTAAAAGACCTATATCGATACGAATATGAACCTTTATGGAATATATACTTGGATGCATCCCTCTCAGGTGCT